GGTGATATCCTATGACATCTCCATTACAGCACCATTTTTGTTGGTTGAATCAAAGTTAAATCAGAAAGTCGGATCAGTTAAATACACAGGTACTATAAACCCTGGGAGGGTCACAGTTACATTCACCATCATTTGGCAGTGGGTCAAAACCGTATCCCCCTGGTGAACATCAAAATAGCTGGTAAATGGATGTTCATCCCCCTAAAAAAAGGTATGTATAGGGATTGATCCATAGCCATTTGATGAAATCCTCACTTTTTGCGTATCAAACCACCAGTCAACCATTGGTGCCACTGACTCCCCGGCTCCGAGTCAAGTGACAACCGGTGGGCGATGACCAGAAGCGTCGATCCGCTGAAGGAGGTGCGAAGCCTGGGTAGCCCAGTGACGGAGTACACACTTTGCAATACAGTACGAGCCCAGAAAAAGGGGAAAAAAACAGAAAACACAATTTATATACCATTGTCTTACACACGCATCTATATAATTTAAATAATCATAATCTATGTATTCCGATATTTATATGTATATATATATATATACGGAATATATATATATATATACAAATGTGATTGCAGTCACCTGATCGCCCACCCTTTGTGACTCTCGTGCATACGATCACTGCCGCTAAAGGAACTGAGCATCTGACTTTGCAATGTGGATCACTTGGTGACATTGCGTCTGTGCTCTTTGAAATTTTCAAATCCAAGCTGTCAAATTGGAAGTGTGCTGCCCATAGGCTTGGCTGGCTCTGGGAAAAGAAAAACAGGCTTGAGGATTCAAACATTTCGGGCGCACATACCCTTCCATCAAATTAATAACCCTTCAAAAGGACCACAAATGTGATTGCAGTCACCTGATCGCCCACCCTTTGTGACTCTCGTGCGTACGATCACTGCCGCTAAAGGAACTGAGCATCTGACTTTGCAATGTGGATCACTTGGTGACATTGCGTCTGTGCTCTTTGAAATTTTCAAATCCAAGCTGTCAAATTGGAAGTGTGCTGCCCATTCCCATTCATGCTCTGGCTTGTCCGGATTTTCGCAGTAAGTCTAACAGTTGTTTGGGAAACTTCTATAAACTTCTGAGATCTGGTCTCGATGGTCTTCCGTCGTCGATCAGCCGCTTGCCGCCAGGAGGAAAGCAAGAGCGCATGTTTCTCATAGCGAGACACAGACGCCTTTGCTTGCCATCTTCCGCGTTTTTGTATCTCCAGCAAAGTGCGACGCTGGTGATAGCGGTCGTTGCTAGCAGCTGCATGCCTGACCACGTGGGGCATAACACATCGTGACTTGTACTGCAGAGTGTCGCACGATTGCTGGCACCACCGTTCATAGGCGTTCAAGGTGATGTCAGGGAACAACCGATCTGTCTTTGTCTGAGACCAAAGACGCAAACACTCACGAATCCATCTGTTCTGGGAATGGTCGCCCAGTAGGATGGAATCGTCAGACTTGCATGTCTTCGTAGTTTCTCCAAGTGTGGAGGGTGCAATGAACAATGACCAGTGTGGATACCTTTTACCCTGAGGGCGATTCAAATGTTGAACCGTGAGTGTCCACGCCTCAGAAGGTCGAAGGTAGCCGTCCAACTGAATCACGAGCAGCATGGCTAGATCCAACTTGCGCTGTTCAAGAGCCAGGGTTGCCAAATCATAAACAAACTCCTCCGGCACCGGAATTCTCATCTTTCCTGGGGATTGCCTTCGCCAGCCTGCTAGACTCTGCTTAGACTCTACCAGAAACTGTTCTTTGGGAATCTTACACCGTAGCAGCTGTAATCCATAAATAAGATAGCTGGCAACTGTGATCTCTGCATCTTCTTCATAAAGGTGAGCCAGATAGGCATTAACACGACTATCCAGTGACGCCCGTTGCGAAACATGCCTGTGTTCACTACACCATTGTTCAAAAACTTGAATGCTGTGAAGGTATCGGTTCAGGGTCACCTGACTAACTTTCAGAGCTCTGAGTTGTAAGTCTTTGGACAGTGGGTTTCCGTCTAAGCCAGACCTATTGACTTTTCGCTTCTTTGACGTAGGACCCTGAGAACTTGTCGTACTGTTTGGCAATATCCGTTTTTGTGAACTGCCCGAAAACAACCGGGTGTTGCCTGAGGAAACTTGCCGCCTGCTTGATGGACTTGAAACTCCTATCTGCCGTTGTTGGCCCAACTTCTGAACCAGGTTCAAGGGCAGCTGTTTGAGAGATTCCGTCAGGATCACCGGTCGTCTCTGTGAGAGCGGCGATGAATTCATTGCGTTGTCGCCATCCCAGTTTCCCAAAGGCCTGAGGTGGAGCACAAGACACCGCAGCCTGAGCCCAACATTCGCAAAGCTCGGTGGGATACGCTCCAGCCAAATAGGTGCGGTTTCGATACACCCACTTTCCTTGTTCCTTCACACGAACTGTGCCTTGAAGACCCACATGTTTATGACCTCCTGTGCAAACCTTCCCCAGCATAGCAAAACAACCCTGGTTGGTTAAGATAGAGGTTGACTTCTTGTGAGGCTCCCCATATTGACACATATCCCAATGTACAAAACGAATACGTTTGTCGCCAATGAGAGCCCTAAGAGGTTCAAATTCCCAGAGGCGGCTTGACTTGGGATTCTCAAGTGTGAAGTTAACACCGTGCTGAAGACACAACCGAATGACCTTGCATGTGAAGAGGGCTGTAGCCACGGCATGTTGCTCTTTCCTACGTGCCTTGGTGTGGTTCTTGATACCATGTCGAGCACGAGACCAGGCCGTACAAGGGGTTCCGAGATGTATCCACCAAACGTGTTGACCAGCAATAAGACCAAATACAATGCTCTGCACCAAAGGATCCAACAAGTCATATATGCGTCCCCGAAAAAACTCAAAAGGGGGGTAAACCCTGAGTCCAGATGCACCAACTTGATGGGATAGATTACCACTCCCTGCAAATAGTTCCAAGAAAAATTGCTGCTTAGGGCCAAAATTTGGTTGGTTTATCACAATACGGCTACTTGTAGACGGTGAAGACGGAATACCCTGCTCAAATGAGTCAATGCCTACATGCGCATCCAGAGACTCGTCAACCCGCATACGTTTGCCCTTGGGAACATCCTCCCCAAACAATCTTGATGGTCCATCCGCAGGATTATCAGCTGAAACTATATGCCGCAAATGCCAAGAAATGTTACCCGCAATCTGATAGGCTGCACTTCGACGACAGATGTTATTGATGGGAGAGCTGCTGCTTCTACCTCTGGTCAAAGCTAATATTGATACCATGCTATCGCTAAGTGTCAGACATCTCTTACCAAGATTGGAAGTCGTACGACATAACCGCCGCAATGACAAGAGACAGACTCTAGCTTCTTTCACGTTGATGTGTTCATGGATATCATGCCAAGGTTTTGCCACAATAAGGTCCCAGAGTGAGGGTTCCTTCCAGCGATCACTAATCCCAGGTATAGTCGCAGCTTCAATGATGGTTCGTTCAGGTTGCAAAGGTTTCCCAAAAAGCTTGACACGTCTCTTCGGGCCAAGTTTGGGTGGTGATTGCAAAACATCCTTCAGCTGTTGACCAAACCTGGTTTTTGACCCCACTCCCGCCTCGTTGAGACATCCTCGGATGCCGCGGCCACTCGCCTCAGAATCATCAACGGCGGGACCACACATCCCAGGGTGCAGGTTGCAGGGTTCATCACTGTGAAGGAACCTCCACTTCTCTTGGTATTTCATCTCGCTTCGAATATGGGATGTAGGGGCATTGCAACACATAAGACTGTATCCTCGATCTGAAGAATCTCCAACATGAACTTCAGGGCAAATCTCGCTACTTAGATCACGCTCCACTGTAAAAAGTAGTGACAAAACCAGTTTCATCTCCTTTCGAACTGATGGCCACATAGGAAATCGATGACCCAGGTGCGAAGATGAAAACTTGTAACATGCCGACAGGATGGGTAGGAGAGGTCGAGAACGCATGAAGTGAAAGTTCACATGTCCCAACCAAACACGGAGGATGTCACCAGAGATCCGTCGTCTACGTAGTAAAGCCCTAGTTGCTCCCCATAGTCGCCAAGCTCGAGACTGTTTGGCCCGAACTGTGACTCGAGAACCAAAACTAAAAGTCAAACCCAATGTATCAACCGTAGGTTGGCCATCTGTATGATCAACAGTAAAGGGTATTCCCAATTCTGAAAAACGATGGGCCACCCGATCCATACACTCTGCTGCTTCACCCTGTTTGCCTCCAAAGGAATGCACGTTATCCACATACACGCCCAGCACAGGTGTATTCGGCCGAACGGCCGGAGCAGGGTGCTTATCACGGATCAAAACTTTCTCAGGTTGATCAACAGCCAACAAACACTGGTGACTAATAATCTCTTGTGCGAAATAAAGGGCCCAACTCCATCCCATAGGCATACCCCGAAAGCAGATGTAAACACGTTCACCAGGCAAAAGGGGGGTTGTAATACCAGAGTCTTCATCATAAATATAGTGATCCACCATGTTCCAACGTCGCATGTCTTCCAGATCGACAATGTCACCTGTTGAAAACCAGCTACATGCATTGGGGACCACAAAGTTATAGAAACAGTCTCCAACATCACCAGTATCCAACCCTGATGTCAAAGGATCAATGTCAAGGTGTTCATACCCCTGCTCGGCCAAAGCCTCAGTGGAAAAATCTAAAGAGGCCAATCCAGCCGAGGTTGCAAGACGTGTGGTGGGAGGCCGTCTCATCAAAGAGTTGCTCTGACGGCAGTCCACAATCAGCCGTTGGGTGTTGCCATCCACACTGCCCTTCTTTTTGACAGCAAACATTCCAACCCTGGCTTTTTGCCTACGTCTGAAAGTGATCAAACCACATTTAAACAACCTTTGATATAGTTGAAACCTCTTACTTTTATCTTTCTTATTCTTTCTTTAAACCGGGATCCCAATGTGGCTCAACTAACTGTCCTGAGTCGCGGAGGAGCTCCATCTCCTGCCAAGTCCTCTCCACTAAAGTATCAAAATGTTCAAGATACAACTTCGCAGAAGGAGGTGCCAGTTCCACTGCAGGGATAGGATCAAGGCTGCGACTGAGGATCTTTATTTGGTTGGGGTCCAGCTTGGCAATGTGTTTGGCCTCCTGAGTGTACAGGTTGGCATTGCACTGGAGGTCAGTGAGGGCAACCTCCTCATTGAAGTCGGAAGGCACCTCACCATAGTTGGCGATCCTCCGCTTAAGGTCCTCAAGCATCCACAACTGTACATGTGTCAGTCTAAGGTCCTCATGGTGAGTCATGTCAAAAGCAGCTGAAGCTAAACTGTTGAGCGCTCCACACGCAGCATCCAGTCGCCGAGTCAGCGGTTCGACGAAGTTCGGCTTGCCAACACGTGGCAATGGAAAGGGGTCCCCATGCCTACGGTGGACCGAACGGCAACGTCTATCGAATTCAGGCCATGCATCGTCCGCCAAACAAGAGGTGGTCAGAGTCATCTGGGCGGAACCACCTCACTGGAAAAAAAAAACTCAGGTGGCCGCAGGAGGCTGAGAGCCTCCCGCCGTGTTGCCACCATCCTTGCCCTTCTTCTTTTTCTTCCGCTTGCCAACTGGCTCATCATCAGAATCTCCATCTCCACCACCTGCTCCTTTGCCCTTGCCCTTCTGGGCTCGCCTCTCCTGAGCGTACAATCGCTCCTGCTTCCAGATCTGTGATCGTTCCTTCAAACGACTAGTGACCCATTCACTGAACTTGGAAGTAGAAGCACGGCCATCTCCCTGTAACGCATTGCCAGACAAAACATCCAACCCACTGTAATCAGGGGAGGTAGGATTCCTCTCGACAGCCAGCTCAGTTTGAATACCCCATCTGCTGAGGTGCTCACCAATTGCCGTTGTAGATGCATCAACCTGGTCGAAGCTGTGTAGCATGCGAAGGCCTTCGCACACATTCCGATGTATATGGGCAGCGGATGATCGCTTCTGCACTCCAGAGAGACGAAGCCACTGCTCATGATACGCCAAAAAACTATTGGCGCCCAAAGAAACAGCCTCATGATACTCTTTCGCAGCTCGAACTCCAGCTATGGGAAACTCCTCGGAATTCTCGGTGGACCCTTTCATCAAGCTCACAGCCGCCGACAACTCCAGACGTTTCTTGCCCGAATCATCGGGCTGATTGCCTAGCAATCTCTGATCGCCAGTTTCCAAGCCCTTCAGCTTTCGCCAGTCTTCAACATCTTTACTAGGCACCCGTTCAACAAACACCTCCTCCCCATTGATGATCACAACTCCTTTTTGGCTGAAGGCTAACCCAGTTGCTTCGCTGAACAGCAAATCCTCCCCAATCTCTGTTCCAAAATCAGGATGGGACGACTCGCACACCAGCCACTGAAAAGACTCGGTCTCCTCAACCTCCGCCTCTCCAAGGATAGCAGCTTGGGTCTTGGCCCTCTTCTTGAACTGGTTCAACTGAATCTTGCTGATGGGATCATGGGCATATATTTCAGCAGCGATGTCATCAGGAAAAACTGATCTTCGTTCCAGTATGCGATGCCCAACTGCATTCAGATCATGTCTTTGGATGTCATGGTCTGGAGTCAAAGTCAGCCACACACCACCCGTGATGCGATGTAGTAATATTCTATGATGCCAGTTGAAACCATCTGGATCGCCGGGATAGTGAATGAGGACTTGCACTTCCGCAATGTCAAGGGTATAATCACCCATCTCTATCTCTTACCCAGCTTGAAGTCAGATGGCCGAGATGGCCGAGTTTTGCCCCAAGTGTTCCAAGATCCTTTCCCCTTTGCAGGCACTGCTACCAGCTCACCACCTTGGGAGGATTCGTCAGTATCAGACGAAGAGCCCCCCGTGTCAGAAGCAAGTGCAACCCGAGGACGTGAAGGGAAAAAACGGATTCGGACTATCCAGACTATCAAACACAGATCAAATAGGAGACTAGCTCTAAGAAGCCACCTTTGCCGCCAAATCTCCCAGTCGCAGCTGCTGTTGCGAGTAGCCAGCTCCAAGGCCACTTCGCGAGCTTGTTGGACTTCAACACGTAGCGCAGAGGTCTCAATCAGCAGGCGCTCTGAAGATGACCAGGGGTAGTGAATGAATGTAGATATCAACCAGCCAGCCAAAAACGCAACTCTAGGTACCATCCACGGCAAGCGACCCCAAAAGAAAAACAGGCTTGAGGATTCAAACATTTCGGGCGCACATACCCTTCCATCAAATTAATAACCCTTCAAAAGGACCATACATATGCATTATGTGTGTGCGTGTGTGCGTGTGTGTGTGTGGGTCTTTCTTTCTCTCTCTCTCTCTGTCTCCATCGCCACCTCAACAGGTGAGACTATATTATTATGTATACGTGGATTTTGAATATAGTAACATGTTATATTCGGTTCTATCTTGTTTGCAACCCCTAAAATTGTAGTTTTTTTCATGGGAACAGTGGAAAACTAATCCATTGGAATTGGAGGTGCCACACAAATTTGAACAAACCCACATGTGGTCATCAAAATTAAACGACACCCGGCTTTTCAGATCTAAACAGTTGTTGCTCATGTACACAGACTGTACTGTATTAGTAATGCATCATAAGTTTTGATCCATCCCCATGATTACCCATGTCATGCCAATAGCGAGACACGCTTGAGATCTGGGCAAGTTACAAATGATTTGAAAAGTACTTAGCATTTCTGCAGCAATATGGTGCAAAGGCCTTGGTAAAAATAAAGAAACATATCATTATCTGGCCGCTGGGTTTAAGGAACAACTACCTACAGGAAACCCGGGTTCTACCACCCAAGTCTGGGGGGTTCAACTGTACATAGTGCAGTGAACAATTTCTGCTGGGCACCACACTGACCAGTTACAGTGCCACCAATTTGCTTCCGGAACCAAAAACTACTGGAGGATCATCACCTCAAATAATTATGGTTAAAAAACAACTATTTCACACCACCAACCAAAAATCAGCAATTTATATATATATATATATATATGTATATTATTTACATATATATATATACATGTAGGATTTTATGGGATGACACCCCATAGTCCTACCATCTTCCTACCATCTTCCTACCATCTCTTGGCGCCGCAGTCGCGCCAAAGCGACGTCTGTTGCACTTTGGCGTCCGTCAAGGCATCGATGTTGGCCGTGGCTTCATCCAGCAACACCACAGGCGCCTGGTTTGAAAAGCTGGGGTCCCCCTTTTGGAAGACCCTAGCCATGGAAGCCATGGCCCATAGAAATAGATGGTTTACCTGGGTTTACCTATGAAAAATGGTGATTTTCCATGGCGAACTGTTAAGTAACCAGATGGTAAACGTTTTATGTAAACTATGGAAAATAATCGGCTGGAAGATTGGGAAACCATATATATATATATATATATATAGCTAATAACATTATACCTATGATAGAATGAGTATTAATCATCATAGACCTGGTTGATGGTTGACCTACCCCTTTGAAAAATATGAGTCAAATATAGTCAAATGGGATTATTGTTCACAAGATATGGAAAAATGCAAAATGTTCCAAACCACCAAACAAATAACTATGGAAAATCACCATCAACCAATTATAAATAGGCAATTTAATAATAGGCAAATCAACTATAAATTTACACATTGTAATTTGTAATAGGTAAATCAAGGTAAATCCACTATCAATGAGCAATGTTCAATAGCTATGTTAGTTTACCAGAGGGTAGATTCAGCGGATTGGTTTCAGGGACAATTGACATGGGAAACCCTATATGTCATGGTGAAAACCTATGAAAACCAAGGTGAACTGTAGATTTTCCCTTCAACCAATCCAGGGATAGTTAGATAGCTAAATTGGGTTATAACTTCCATATATCCCATATACCATGAACATCCATAAACCATAGTTATTGGAGTTATTTGCACTAACTTAGTTATGGGGCCACATCTTTCAGGCGCTATATACAGGTTTTGATATCAGGTTTGAAGAGGGTAAATACTTTTTTCTGGGGTTGAAACACACAATGCACACATCTTAAATGTTATTTAAATCTGGTTGTTAACGCATGCTCTCTGGTAATGTAACAGCTTGCCATTGTTGAAATGGCAATGGAAAGAATACGTATATCATCTATCCAAATGGGTCCTGTTCAATGGCTATGTTGAATTGCCACAGGCAAAACTATGGAACCATGTCAATACTTTCAGTGTGGGTTTGATGTCGGTTGCTGTTAATTTCGGAAAATGCTAATGAGACAAATGACCTGGAGTTAGAAAAGAAGTTCATACATGCTTTTGAAATTAATGTAGTTATATAAGTTATATAAGTTATATAGTTGATCTAAACCTCATCGCCATAGTCTCTAGCTTAGCTCACCTTCAGTCATGACAATAAAATTCCCATATTATTCGTCTTTACCCATGGTTCCCACCAAAACCAAGAAAAATGATTTCAGAGAGATGGCTGATTCACACAACATCAAGCAACTGAACTTCACTGAGCCCTGCCTGTCTGAGCAAAGCGCGTGCAAAGCAAAGCAACTGGCGTTGGCCCACCTGAGGTTTCAACCAACTGGCGTGACATAGCACGGCATCAAGTACTTGTCCATTCAACAATGGCCAACAAATCAACACACAAACAGCCAACCATCAACTGACAACCCATAAACATTGAATCATTCTTGGTGACAGAATGTCCCCCGTTTTTCTTGAACACTCTTTGGGGATTTACCCGTGGGTTTGAAGAAGGGATAAACAAAAAACAGCACATTCCCTATGAATCCCATTTCTGCTGGATTTCTTATTGGGAAAATATCATGGCGACTCCCATTTCCATGACATCCCCAATGATTGCCAAAGATTCGCCCTGAGTTAAGCCCAAACATGATTGGTAGGTGACATTTGGAATAGAAACAATCTATTGTTGGTGCGTAATAAACATCGGAATAAAAAAACACACAAAAAACATCAATAAACCCTACCCCCTACCACCTAAATCCTTAATAAACCTGCAAATGGCTTAAATCCTCATGACACTTCCCAGTATGAATCAGTATAGCATGTATCAGCCAGTATTGACCATGACTTTCGAGTGAGACTCTGCCACTTGAACTAGGGGTAGGCTAATACCTTTGGGGTGCTTAAGCCACCAAACCCTTCATAGAGCCTTAATAAAGCCGTATTATTGGTTGAATCTCAATTTTACCATCATTAACCATTATTGATCATGACCAGCCATTCCCTGAAAGTCACATGACCAATTTAACCTACCATAGTATGATAATCCACAGGACGCCAGGGGTAATTTCTATCATCATTTGTTCATTCTAGGTTGCTATGATTGGTTCATTCCGGTATCATAGTAAATTAAATATATATATATATATACACACTATCATGTAGCTCCACATTAAAAAGGAACTGATAGGAAATAATTAGATGCCCCTAGATCCTTATAGCTCCCTTCAAACCATTGGATTTGTTTGGCTTTTAGGCTTGGTAGCAAGTGAGACTTGCCATTATATAGGGTCAGTATAGATGTACCCCAAAATACCCCAAACAACAATATAGTAAGAATGAATCGCTACAAATTCATTGCTGCAACGCTGACGCGCGAATCAAACAATCATCTGGTTGCCAAGCACCGCAACCAATGTGGCTGTGCAGTGTGCAAGCCACGTTCAATGAAGCGCTCCCCTGAATTTGACGGAGGATTTATGTCAAATGTAAGTCCACTATCGAAAATGAGCCCGAGGTTGTGTTGACACCCCCGTTTCAAAATCCTCACATTCCGTGTTCAAAGTATCAAGGCTCACAAGGGCGAGCTGTGGGAACTGGAAGAGTTGAGCGCTGGTGGCGCCACACCGCTAGCAGCAAACCCCACTGCTCCACAGAAGCTGCGTAGTCAAGGAAGAAGTAGCCTTCAAATATCATTGGATAGTCTAACTATGTAATATTATATAACAAATCCAGGTTTGTTCACACGATTTTCCATAATGAGTTCCGATAATCCATGAGTATAGTGAGTTGGTTGATGGTTTGTTGGGGGATTATACTATACAAACCTATACAAAATAGTATAGTGTATAGCGTAATCCCCCAACTAACCATCAACCAACAGATTACCTTAGGGGCATGGATAGATTACAGGATGGCATCAAATCAAAATCCCAAATTCCTAATAATCACAAAAAACAATTAAAATATATTAGAATCACCATGGTATAGTAAAAAAAATCCTATTAAGTAACACATCCCCATGTTCGTTGGTTAAATCCCTAAAATAAGAATGACCATGAAATCACATGGAATCACCATGAATTCCCATTAAACCATTGGGTATTGATCCCAGAACATCCCAGATATCTCCAGGGCGCTGAGAAGTTCGAACCGCGGCTGTGCACCACCGTGTCCAACGGAAGATCCTGCAACGACACGGCTGGGTCAACTGGTAGAAAAGCCGGTTTGTTCTTCCGAGAAGATGTAGGTTTTGGTATCCAAGAAAATCTAGGATTTGTCCAACAAATAAGGATTAAATTATATATTATATTAGTTGGTTTATGTGAGTTTAAGTTGGTCTGTAGCTAACATATGCAAGATGTTGGCAAGGCAAGACGATCCCCATTTTGGTGGGTCAAATCAAGTCAAATCCTACCACTTGGTTGGTTGCTACCCAAAACATTGGGATTTTACCGGCACACAAATTGGTATCTAACTTAAAAAAATGGATGAACTTTGGATTATTATTGCCGTAAGCCCAGTGCTATAAAACCGCCATTCATCGATAAAACTCTGTAAGGTTGGGGGGTTCTTCCTTTTTGGGTTTACCACAAACTGAATTGATATGGGGGCCAACTTCAAACAAATAATTTTGACAAGTGATATATGGTGGGTAGTCCAATCATTGCCACCAAGTTTAGGCCCTGTGAAGTACAGCCAGTGGATAGTATCAAAAAGTTGAAGAACTCATCATTCATAACTCATACCATCTGGTTATGACTAACATAGCCATGGAAAGATCCGCCATTTTATAATAGGTAAACAATCTATTTTTATGGGCCATTTTCCATGGCTATGTTAAAAAACCAGAGGGTAACCATCATTTAAGCGCTAAAAGTGATCTGTAACACTCATCCTAAAAAGAAAGGAAACAAGGTAGTAAAATGCAGGCTTACTCCGACACGACTCCAAGAATCTTATTGTACAGAACTCCCAGGCACAACAACAACAACAACAACAACATCCGCCTCTAAGCCGGCTCTCTTCAAGGCTTCCAAATGCTGGGAAGGCTGGGACATGCCTCCCGTTCCGTTGGGACATGCCGGGTAAACCATGGGAACCCAACAATTCATGTGCTAACCCAATAAGGAAGCTCCAATTGGCTCCAATTTTGGAGGGTCTATGCAACCCATTTCTGGTGATAGGGATGGTGTGCCATGGATCTATCACATTACATCACTCCAAAAGATTCACAGGCATGGTTTCAGGAAAGATCGACACAAACACCATTCTGTTTCCAAGGAAATAGGCCCCAGATTTACCAACATCACAGAATAGCGTGAAAATAACTATGCCCACGCCATGGCTCCACATTTTTTGGATGGTAAAAACCATCCGGAAGGAGCCCCCCAGTTATGTTAGCTGCTTTAGTTTCCCCGTCCAACTAGCTATTATGAATCCAACATAATCAGGTAATTATGTTAATTAACTAATTGAGCAGGGTTCAAGACGGGTCTGTCATTTCAGCATACTCACATGATCCTTTCGCAACCCCTTCTGTGATGCTTTCGCGACCACACTCCCAGCTTTCGCGCGGTCAACATTCACACGATGTGCATTCGCCGAGTTTCGCCGTATTTAGTTGCACGTAATCTGAATACAATAAAGGCTGAACATGCTGAACATTTTGGAATTGCGCAAAGCTTCCGCGACGGTGTCTGTCAACTTGGCTGTCGCGAAGCTTGCGCCCTGCTTGGGTGAGTTGGGTTTTAGCTCTTCGCAAGTATTGTACTGTTTAGGAACTAAGAACGCCTTGTGCCCTCTGTACATAACTATACTCAATTGCCTAATTATCAGTTGGGCGTTGCCGGTATATTATGGACTACCATATATTAGCATTATTATCATGGCCTGGCCATGCCAATATATCTCAAGATCTAGCAAAATATCATAATTCATATCCCTTAAACTTGGATGAACATGATGGAACCCTCTTGAAAGACTGCATTTTCCATAGGTTTTCATCCATTTTCCATCCATTTGCCATAGGTTTTCCATGGGTTTTTCCCTCTCAACGTTCCCAAACTCTCGCCCCTGCGGCGCACCGAAGGGGTCCAGGTTGTCACGCAGGTTCCCGGCGAAAAGGAAGGGATCCTGCGGGATGATGGACCTTGGTTTACCATGGCAGTCCGACGCACAGAACACGTCGAACCCCCGTTCTGAATTCTTTGAAACACCATGAAACACCTGTTGGAACTGGACTTGGAACTTGATAATCTGTTTTTTTTAAAGAGGGCGAAATTGAACAATGTCAACATGGAATCTGAGCATGGCCATGTGTCCAACAGCAAAGTCAGTCATTGCTGCAGTTTTCCAACACATATTTAGGAGTAGGTGAACATTATACTATTATAGTGATGGGGTGTCGAACTTTGTATACCCCAAAATCAACTTTAAGCCGCGACCTTGGGGAGCGAAATTCAATTTTCAGAGACACCCAGATGAACAATACCGCATGTTTGCTTGGAATCCTTGCGGAAATCTCCACGTCATTTCAAATGTAGCAACCAAAGAATAATCGAAGAAAGGTCATGAAAGTAGGAAGCCACCAGAACCAATTTGCCCATTAATTGTATGTCTTGGGATTCGACCGCAGCTTGGTTGCCAAGCTCCTAGAGTCTCCTTGTTTCAAACATTGCAATTTATGGAGATGTGATGAGATGTGTATGCCCTCCGCCTGATTGTATCTGGGCAATTTTCTTTGGGATGACACACCTCCGAAGTAGAAACTTTTCAGTGAGGTCGTTCGTTTTAAAACTGCTCCCAGATTGTCTATCATATGTTCCGGAAACTTGTTTACTTATGTAATGTGCTGTAAAAAAATGTATATTATATATATATATATATCTGGTTGATGGTTTCAACCCCTCTGAAAAATATTAGTCAGTTTGGATGATTATTCCCAATATATGGAAACATAAAACATGTTCCAAACCACCAAACAAATATATACTATTATTTTTATAAGCCCCTTGGTTCCCTAAGTCGCGAATACTATGGTAAACCCAATGCCATAAGCCATCCATGGGGGTTATCTTACATCATCCCATAGCGGCATGCCTAAATTCAAAAATCTCAATCTTGGGGGGCGGTTTATTCTATACTTATCCCATAAGATTTATTCATGATTTTCCCACTGTTCTCCCATATTAATCCATGCAAATATATATATATATATACTAATATCCTATTATATATCCCATTGTGGCACTGGCTGAATCCCAGTTTTTTCACTATACCACAATTATCCCATGAGTACGGTATCCCAATTTAAACCATATACTCCCAGCACTGGCTGAATCACCTTTTTTTTCTTATCGAAGAAAGTTTAGAAGTCAAACTTCCGACAATATGGACAGATGAAAAGCAGAGATGGGAAGAGTCAGCGAAGAGAAGAGAAGAGAAGAAAGAAGATCAAAAAAGAGAAAGTCTCAGAAGAAGGAAGATCCAGGTGCGCGAAAAGGTAGTGAAGTCGCGAAAAACACTGTGTTTTTCCAATGGTTTGTGGCTCCGGAGGGTCGAAAAGTTGGCTCGCTAAAGGGGCGGGTGCGGAGCCAGCTGGGCAAATGAGAGACGAAAAATTGCACGCCTTTGTGGCGCGAAGCACATTTCCAAGTCAAAAAGCTAAAAACACCTCACGTTCGGAGCACTTTTTGAAGTTGAGATGTCGAAAAAGTGCACGCCATTGCGGCGCGAAGCACAATTGCAAGTGAAAAAGCTAAAAACACCTCAGATTCGGAGCACTTTTGGAAGTTGAGATGTCGAAAAAGTGCACGCCGTTGTGACGTGAAGCACATTTCAAAGTCAAAATGTACAAAACACACCGTTCTTGGACAACTTTTGGAAATTGAGATGTCGGAAAAGTGCGCACCGTTGTGACGCGAAGCACATTTCGCAGTCAACATGTTAAAAACACCAAGGGTTCGGACCACTTTTGGGCGTTCAGATGTCGTTTCGCGTGGCAGGCGCAAGGGATTGTGCACCTTGTCAAAAGTGAGCAAAACGTGAAAGTTTTGTAGCATTTTCAACTACAACCACCACTACACCACACTACACTCCAACACACTACAGTCCAATACACTCCACTACACTACACTCAATTACACTCAATTACACTCAATTACACTACACTACGCTACATTCCACTACACTACACTACAGTACACTACACTACACTCCACTACACTACATTACACTACACTACACTCCACTACACTACACTACATTACACTACACTACAGTACAACTACACTACACCACATTCCACTACACTACACTACACTCCACTACACTCCACTACGCTCCACTACACTACACTCAACTACACTACACTACACTACATTACACTACACTATACTAACTACAATTACAACAATACTACATTTACACTACCCTGCACTACACTACCCTAGTTACACTACGCTACAACTACACTCCACTACACTACACTGAATGACACTGCACTACACCTACAACTGCAACTACAACGGCAACTGCAACTACACTACATTAAATTACACTACACTAATGACATTACACTACATTACACTACATCACACTAACTATAACTACAACTACACAAGACTACACCACACTACACTAATTACATTACACTACACTGCACTACACTACACCCCACTCCACTACACTACACCTCACTACACTACACTCCACTACACTACAGTACACTACACTCACTTAGACTTATGCTACACTACACTACACTCAATTCACTACACTACACTACACTACAATACACTACACTCATTTACACTACACTACACTACACCACGCGACACTACACTACACAACACCACACCACACCACACTACATCAACTACAACTACAACTGCAACTGCAACTGCAACTACACTACACTAATTGCATTACACTACACTACTCTACATCAACTACAACTACAACTGCAACTGCAACTACAACTACACTACACTAATTGCATTACACTACACTACACTACACTACACAACGCTCTGCACTACAACACATTACACAAAAAAAACGCTACGCAACACACTACACAACACACCGCACCACACAACACCACACCACACTACACTCAATTACACTACACTACACTACCCTACCCCACATTGCATTACATTACATTACAGTACACTCATTTCACCACCACAAATGCAACTACAACTACGCTACACTAATTACACTACACCATAACTACAAGTCCTCTACACTACAACTACAACTACAGCTGCACTACACCACACTGCATCCAGCAGTTGTAGGTGAGGTGGCCGGCCAGGTGACCACTGCAACCATTGCAGCCACTCGAAAAAACACAGCTCCAACCACCTTTCAGTCCATCAGTGGATTCGCTCTGCCATCCGTGATTCACAACAACCAATCTCTCCTATAGGTTTCCCATTTTTGGAACTTCCGCCACCGCCTTGTGCGGTACTACTGGTATATTATGAATCCAACTAGTATCCCATTAGAATAGTTCATTATATATATATATATAGTTATCCCATTTTTAGATGATTGGCTGAATCCTAAATATATATATATTTATATTTATATTTATTTATCTGATTACATTATGGCCGAATTATATATCCGATTATTCTCCTATTATTCTCCCATTCTTCCCACATGGATAGATACACCCAACTCCGCTCACTCTGGCGCTGCCAAGAGACACCGCATGGCCGCGCAAAAGTTTCAGCGGCACGTGTGAGATGTCTTGGTCGTCCAGGAGCACGCGGCCTGCGTCGAAGGATGTTATAAACCAGCTTAGCTATCGTTTTCGGGCCCCACTGTGTACAAATAATCTTTATGGATGTTTTTGGTATAGCTATGTTACTATATAATACTATATAGTTATTATGTCTGGAATATGTTTACTGCACTCGTCGGACATTGAACTGAACTTTGCATTGAACTATAGGAAACCTAAAGCTTTGAAGTGTGCCAGCATAACCACTGCAGGGTCTTGCCTGCAGCTCCATACATCCCATAATTAGTTCCGTGCCAGCTGCGAAAGAACCCCCATTTCTGGCCCCGTTTCTGCGCAGCTTGCCATGTCCGGCGACGCAAGTGACTTGGAAATCAGCGAGGAATGATTCTGTGTCGTGAAGGTAAATCAGAGATGAAAGAGGTCAGTGTTTGAGAACGGTATCCAGTCTTTTTTTTCGAACGCAAGTTCATAAGTTCCTGCTGTTTCTGACAATATGTGTTGTTTATGTGGGAGACACGGGCTTCTCTTCAACGGAACGCTCCAGGGGCGTGACTCAGAATCCGTAGAAATCGAAGTCACGGTCTTTCTTTTTGGCCTCAGTGTTCTGAACCCATCCACATTCCAGGCAAGTTGTTTTTCACATCAAACAACAACTGAAGAATTGATGAGTTGCCATGAATTACCTGCTATTCTTCAATGGTTAACATCAACCAACAAAATACATTGGTTGAAGCAGTAATATCAAAGTACAGCTGCTAACATTTCACCAACCATTGCCTAGCAGCAAAATGGCTCTCCGCAATCCCACCCGCCACAAATGGTACAATTGGGATGCAATGATCTTTCGGAGACGGGGGTTTCAAGACAGAAAGAAACGAACAAGTCGAATTTTCAAGAAACAAAGTGGAACCATCATGAATCATCATCATCATCATCACCATCATCATCATCAACATGAAAATCATCAACATGAAAATCATCAACATCCACAATCCACAACCCACATCAGATTTTTATTTTGTTTGCCCAGGGGCATGGTCTTTCCAGCCGGCTTCGAAGTCTTTGGGCAGGATGACGTAACGATTGTGGCGCACAGCTTGCATGCCTGGAGAATCGCCAGTCCAACTCATGGCAGAATCGTCATTTGCTTCAATATGGGATCTATGGGACATATGGTGTATATATCTATGATATGTATGCATTTATATATATATATACATATGTGTGTGGTGTATATATATATATACATAAAGATGGGATGGCATATATGGGATGGTATATCTGTTGCATTTCTTGGTCAAAACAAGTTTGTTGTTTGCGTATATTGAAGGCGTCACCAGTTCTTCTTGCGGATTTGACACTTGACACAGTTCAAACTGTTGGTCTTGTCCTGGAAGCCCAGGGGTCCACACATGGATTAAGTTTTAAAGCCATTTGGGATAATCTCCAATTAATTTGGGTGTAGCATTTTAGTCTTGACTTTCTTAACTATATCCCCATATTTGGGGTAGCCAGTTCCGACCCAGAGCCGTATAATGAGAATGTCAACCCCGGATTAATAAACCCCTGGGCTGTTTAGTTGGGGGGGTACCATTTCAGTAGCCATCTATCACTGTTTGGGGGAACCACCACAGTTCATCAACCAGGGTTTGTTAATCCGGGGTTGACATTAGCTGCTAGTCATTGTGTTTGGTACTGGATGATGAACTGACCTGCCGTGTTCCAAGTTCAGAACTGCCAGATGTTGCTCCAGCCAGAACCCCAGAAGTCAACAAAAACCTCGACTTCCAAGACGAGACGCCAGCTTCTTGACAAATTGCCGCGATATCAGCGCAACTAATCTTCTCGGGTCGCGACACATAGTCCTCCAGATCAACCTCCTGACAGGCAAAAGACTATCCCAAACGGCCCGCCTGGGCCCGCCCAGTTAGAAGTTGGTTTATCAACCCTGCATTCACGAAATTTAACCAATATAGATATATCATGATACACCTATCATAAGTCATGGCTATAGCACAAACCAACTTAGCTATCTTGGGGAGTCTTGGCAACCACCTTGTAGCTTTAAGCCACCAACAGTTCCACCTCGCTCAGATTCATCTTGGATGTGATGGTCTGGAAGATCAACCGCTTCTGACCTTGGTGCCGAAGATACACTTCGTTGGCTTGAACAATGGACTACACTGGGCCAAACCGCTTCAATATGCCGAGATCATATTTGAATTACCATCTATATGATTGCAATCTGATTCTAATCTTACAAAAAAAACATGATAAATATCCATAAATATCCATAAATTAGAAAATCATCGACAAACCAGCTGAACCACTTGCCTGACCTCCAAAATATTGACAAAATACAATTATAATGGTTTATAATGGGAGTATGGAGATCTAAAATTTGAGAGTATGGCTATGAAAAACAAAATGACCTCTGATTTTTGTCTACTACTATCCCTTAAGCCAGCAGTTTTGCCAAACCCAACAATAAACTACCATTCCAGAGGTCAACATCTATGACCTCTAGTAATCCAACATGGCTTGCTAGCAAATCCAACATTCATAGGTGATTTTCCAAGCTATAAACCTGCATTCGTTCAGGGATCTTCCAAGGTGTTCCTATGATTTTCCCATGGACTTCCAGTTGCCATGCCATCAACGCCTGGCCACGCCGATCCGGCAACGGGAACTCGATCTTCCGGTCCAAGCGCCCTGGACGAAGTAGCGCCGGATCCAGCGTGTCGTGACGATTCCTGGGCGCGGTGTCAAAAGTGCCTGGCAACCTCTCAAATATGTATATATATATGTATATATGCGTGTGTGCGTGGAAACTAATGGGCTTTTTATGGAAATTATATGGAACTTGTATACCAAAAAATAGATATCATGGTTTGGTTAAGGGATATATATATATATATGTATATGTATGATGGCAAATTATAACTTTGATGGACAATACTAATTATGGAAAATTATATGGAAATACTGGCATCAAATTACAACTTGGTGGTTGGATTCAATGGATTGGTGTAGGGAAAAAATTACAGGAAAACCACCAAATTTAAACCAACCCATTGATAAAAACTTACAGTACTATGGAACTTGATGGGCTTTATATATGGGACCTCATGGTAAGGAATGAACATATATAATGAAACCTCATAGGACTATAGTTGTCCGGCGATATCCACCCCACAAAGGGCCCCTTTGTGGTATCACTTCGATCACGCGTCGTAGCCATGATCACTTTCACCGTGGTATCTTGGTCGAAACCATCCTTAGCGAGTTGGCAGGGTGTTCTTCCGCAGCAAAGGACATCAAGAAGCGACATGAAAATATATGAACATCATGATAACTATCAACTAATAAGAACTATAATTGATAATTATTGATAATAACACTATTGATGGTTATCATTATCTATTATGACATCAATAAAAATTATCCATAGATGCTACTAAGAACTATAATTGATAATTATGATTAATAATATGGAACATAATGATAACTGATTTTAGATGATATAGGGAATGGTGATATTATATGATATCATTAGTCTTGATCACAAAAAGACTGAAATTATCATATGGAAAATATATACTATATAATATTAACATAATGGTATAACTTATATATACATATATATTCATCCTAAATAATGTTATACGAATACAAATTTCTGTTATTATTATATATATATGTATATACTGTATATATATGTATATATATATATATATCAGCATGATTTCTTCCTCTCCGGACTGATTCAATGGTAAAAATCATAGAAGATAAACTATAATACTATAATATATAGGTTGATAAGTATAATGTTAATATGATGTATGTATGTATGTATGTATGTATGTATGTATGAAGGTTGTTGCTTAGCCATTTATGTTCTCATGGCGTGTTCAATATCATGAATATAGTCTAAATACTAAATGTATGGAACATGCATTTAATATAATGCATGTATAAGGTGGTGCCCGATAATTAGCTAAGGTGGTTTATAGCTTGTAAATGTCTATAACTCCAATCTCTCTCTCTCTCTCTCTCCCTCCATCCATCGCTATCAGGTCACCCTGCCCTAGCATCGGCTGTATAACTTCACAATATCTATAGTTATTGGATTCAGACCATCAAGTTTAAGCAAGAGTTGATGCCACATAGGTGGCTTGTTTCGCTTCAGAAATAGCCAAACTGCTTTCTGACCAAAATTATGTAGGTTCTAAATCTTTCATGGTCCTTCACCCGTTAACGTGAAAGACTTGCAGCGGGGTTGACCTAGCTCCTTGCTTAAGCCAAAAGTTTGGCTAGAAACAAAGGTTTAGTCAGTAACAACAAGGTTCTGATTACTGAGCGCTTGGTTTCAAGTTCCATTGTGAAAAAAGACATGGATCCGGTGCAGCTGGGAAGACATTCAATACTTCACATACCACCATACCCGATACACACATCAGCAAATAAGCGAAGCCAAGAAGTGGTCAAAAGACCCAACTTTGGTCAGTAATACAGAGGTCCCAAATCCCGAGCAAACTGTCTCAAGCTTTTGTATCAAAAACATGGCTACCTGATGTGACTCACGCGCCCGAAAAAAATGATTTACTCACATGCACATGAATCATGTGCTAATTTTCTTTGAACAACTTTTGGCTCAATCCCGCACTAGGAGCTTTTATGTGAGCCGTATCAGCCTAATCTTGCACACACACACCAAATTTCAACCCTTATAGGAAGTTTTTTTACAATGTTTAATGGTTTGCTGAAAAGCTCTGGGTAACCGAGTTCTCTTCAGAAGATCTCTCTTTAAGCCCTCCTCAGAATGCATTTGCCTGAGGTTTCTTGCTGCAACTCTTGCCGCGATATTTGAGCGAGATCTTGAATAATCTTCTACAGAGGTTTATCGAGGAGATTCGTTTTCAGATCGGCTTTGTTTCTCTGTTATCTTAGATAAGCAAGCCCTAACTCTGTTGAGGAGTGAAGTTTTATGGGGAAGGTCTGTCGCGTTGTCGCGCGATCTCTTGGGAAAGTCTTGGGAAAGTCATGCAGATGAAGTCTGTGTGTGCGAAATCTCAGATGTCTTTAAGATACAATGAAAATATAGTCAGTTGAAAGCTTGTCAGGACCTCGGCCCGGGAGAACGAGCAATCTGGCAAAATCAAGGTATAAGAGTTTTGAAAGGCTGACGGCAAACTCATGTTTAAGACTTTCGTCAATAAACTTTGTTTGAGGGATTGCATTCAAAACAGGCTGCTGGAGAGGCCTAATAAAGCTTCAAATTCAGCCATTTTGGTGTGCCTTGCAAGCGGCGGTCAAATTTCAAAACAAGCGGGGCGCTGAAGATTGAAAAACAGAAAGGCACACGTTATACGCCACGCTTCCTACACTGGAGGTATCATCATCGTTGGTTTGATGCTTCCAAAAATGGGATCTCTGTATGCACTAGCGCACCCTTACGTCAACTCCTTTGGGTTTTTCTGCCAATGTATGAAGTACGATGCGCGTTAAAGATGCGTCGGCTAGCTACAACTCGATATTACACACGCTACTCCTACAGGGCAGGCGAGCACAAGAGATTTAGTATATCGTCTTTTGTCTGCACTAGGGGTTTGTTGGCTAGCCTTCAACCTCCATGGTATCTATCTATGGTTCCAAAAATGCTCCGGTAAGCCTCAAGATTGGGACTTCGCAAGGTTTCAGGTTTAAGAAATATACCATGGATAATGATTCAAAAGCCTAGGGGGGCGCACAAAAGTGCAGCAAAATCATTTTAAAACCTGAAGAAAAATTGTCGGTGTAGCAACCCCTGGATTTATTGCGAGCCGTCTAAGCTTTGGTTGTAAATTGGAAATCCAAGGGGATTTGATTGTAACATGGAGTGGCGACTGGTTTTACCATTGGGTTCCATCGGCTCTAGTAAACTTGTCCGTTTGGACAAAAGAGTTGTTTCCCATCAATGTTCTTACCGCTATGACCACCTTGGTGAACCGACTTCGCCACAAGTCCCAACCATGTTTGCTCAAATTGAATGGTTTCCAAAACTGATGGGATGAAAACGGAAACCTATAGAAGCAAACCTAGGAGCTTTTTCATGCTATATGTCTGCTGGATATTGTCCAAACCAGCAAGGAAATTCCATCAGATGGTTCAATCCATTCTCTGGGTTCCGAAAGGGCTTGGGTTATAAGATGCGTCGGTGCTACCAGCAAATCCAATGAATCCTAGCTGAAGGCCCAATAAAAATTACGCGTCTGCATACACGACAGGCTGGGGAAACAGGCTTCATTGGTCTAAATGATTGCTTCACCAGCAATCATCCAAACTTTGTTGGTTTCAAGGACACAAGAGTCTTTCAGTTGAAACGGGTTTTCCTTTCACCGGCAGCTGTATTAAATCTAACCTACATATAATATCATTGCAGTCTTGAAAGTTTTGATATTCCAATTTTTTCATGATGGGGCTTCAAAAATTCCAGATGCTATGGGGAATGGGTAGAATAGAAAAGAACACGATGTGAATATTAACACGTCGAATTGGAAGATTCCGGACTGTACATGATGCAGTTAGAATACCGCAGATGTTTTGCATCCATTTCCTTTCACTTTCCATTACCTCAGCATTTAGGCATTTAGTTCCGTTCATGTTCCTTCCGTGCTGCATCCGTTTCCTTTCGTTTTCTTTTCAGTTTGCATCCATGTCCTTTCATGGCCCTCCATTTAGTTGTCTTGACGTTTTGCATCCACTTCCTTTCATGTTACCCCTCACTTTGCACCCATTCATGTCCTTTCATATTGCATCTTAATCTCATGTCATGTGCCATTCATGTCCTGTCATGTTTTTTTGAAAAATTGCATCAATTTCCTTTCATGTCCTTTTCATCTTGCATTCATTTTCCACAGCCCAACCCTTTGTTGGTAACATTCTCCATGCATTCTAAGAGCAGGCCGGGCCTTTAGATAGAATATTGCGCAGATGCTGCACCCGCCATCGTAAATCCGATTTGTACGAAATCTGGACTTAACAAAACCGTTCCAAGTGCTGGCCTGAAACTCTACAGCGCCAAATATGTTCAAAAGAAAAACGTTTTTGCTCACAGACCTGGTCATGACGCAACTCAAAAAATTGATATCTTCGCAGACCTGGGCATGCGAAAAAAATATCCATTGATCTGACATGATGGTGTTTCCTTCCCAATTCTTTAGCAAAGAGAAACATGGATCACATGTGGTTGCCCGCGTCTTTCCTTGTCTAACTTCTTTTCTTTTTCGCCAAGCTCATTCTTGCTCATTCTTGAGTAGCCCCAAACCTAACCTTGATGCCGACATTGCATGACTTGAGTAGCCACATCCTGGTCAAAAGTTCTTTTTCCTTAGTAGCCAGCTACTCACCAAGACAACTTTTTTCCTCAGCAGCAAGCCACTGACCAAAATCCAATTTTCTTCGGCAGCCAGCTACTGACCAAACCTCCTTTTTCCTCAGTAGCCAGCTACTGACCAAATCCATGGCTCCGCAGTAGCCAGCTACTGACCAAAACTTTTTTTTCCTGAGTAGCCGGCTACTGACCAAAAACATTTTTTTTTCCTCAGTAGCCAGCCCCTGATCATTTTTTTTTCCTCAACTACCGGCTTTTGAGCAAAATCCATTTTTCCCCAGAAGCCAGCTACTGACCCAAACCCCTTTTCCTCACGAGCCAGCTACTGGCTCAAACCCATGCTTCCTCATTGGCCACATGCTGACCAAGTCCATATTTTGTCAGTAGCCAGCTCCTTACCAAAACCCATGCTTCCTCAGTAGCCAGCTACTGACCAAATCCATGGTTCCTCGCTAGCCAGCTACTAACCCAAACCTCTTTTTCCTCAGTAGCCAGCTACTGACCAAAAACATTTTTTTTCCTCAGTAGCCAGCCTCTGATCAATTTTTTTTCCTCAATTACCAGCTTTTGAGGAAAATCCATTTTTCCCCAGAAGCCAGCTACTGACCCAAACCCCTTTTCCTCACGAGCCAGCTACTGGCTCAAACCCATGCTTCCTCATTGGCCACCTTCTGACCAAATCCATTTTTTGTCAGTAGCCAGCTCCTTACCAAAACCCATGCTTCCTCAGTAGCCAGCTACTGACCAAATCCATGGTTCCTCGCTAGCCAGCTACTAACCCAAACCTCTTTTTCCTCAGTAGCCAGCTACTGACCAAATCCATGGTTCCTCAGTAGCCAGCTACGGATCCAAACCTTTTTTCCCTCAGCAGCCAGCTAGTGGCCAAAATTCATGTTTCTTCAGCAGCACACTTTTCACCAAAAACCACACTTTCTCAACAGCCACCTACTGACCAAAATCAATTTTTCTTCAGTAGCCCGCTACTGAACAAAATTCATTTTTCCTCAATAGCCAGCCCCAGATGGAAATCTATGTTTCCTCAATTGCCAGCTTTTGACCAAAATCCATTTTTCCCCAGAAGCCAGCTACTGACCCAAACCCCTTTTCTTCACGAGCCAGCTACTGGCTCAAACCCATGCTTCCTCATTGGCCACATGCTGACCAAATCCATTTTTTGTCAGTAGCCAGCTCCTTACCAAAATCCATGCTTCCTCAGTAGCCAGCTACTGACCAAATCCATGGCTCCGCAGTAGCCAGCTACTGACTAAAACCTTTTTTTCCTGAGCTGACCAAAAACATTTTTTTCTCAGTAGCCAGCCCCTGATCAAAATCTTTTTTCCTCAGCAGCCAGCTAGTGGCCAAAATTCATGTTTCTTCAGCAGCCAACTTCTCACCAAAACCCACGCTTTCTCAACAGCCACCTACTGACCAAAATCAATTTTTCTTCAGTAGCCCGCTACTGACCAAAATTCATTTTTCCTCAATAGCCAGCCCCAGATGGAAATCTATTTTTCCTCAATTGCCAGCTTTTGACCAAAATCCATTTTTCCCCAGAAGCCAGCTACTGACCCAAACCCCTTTTCTTCACGAGCCAGCTACTGGCTCAAACCCATGCTTCCTCATTGGCCACATGCTGACCAAATCCATTTTTTGTCAGTAGCCAGCTCCCTACCAAAACCCATGCTTCCTCAGTGCCAGCCAGCCAGCTGACCAAATCCATGGTTCCTCGCTAGCCAGCTACTAGCCCAAACCTCTTTTTCCCCAGTAGCCAGTACTGACCAAAAACTATGTTTCTTCAGCAGCCATCTTCTCACCAAAACCCACGTTTTCTCAATAGCCACCTACTGAACAAAATCCATTTTTCCTCAGTAGCCAGGTACTGACCAAGTCCAGTTTCCTCAGTAGCCTGCTACTGACGAAAACCCATATTTCTTCAGTCCAGCTACTGACCACATCCACGGTTTTTCAATAGACAGCTACTGACCAAAAACCTTTTTTCCTCAGTAGCCAGCTGCTGACCAAAATTCCTTTACTGAAAAGCCAGCTACTCACCAAAATCGGTGTTTCCTCAATCATTTCCCTCGATAGCCAGCTACTTTCCAAAATCCATGTTTCTCATAGACCAGCTACTCTTCAAATCCCATCAAAAACACTTTTTCCACAGTAGCCAGCTACTGGCCAAAAAACATTTTTTCTCAGCAGCCAGTTCCTCACAAAAATCGATGCTTCCTCAGTAGCCAGCTCCTGACCAGAACCGTTTTTTCCTCAGTAGCCATCTTCTGGCTGAAATCCTGTGTTTTGGATCGCCATGTCTTGATCAAGACATCAGAAAGCATCTGATGACCAGACCCTCTTTTCTTCAACAGCTTTCTCTAACATAGCAAAAGGCTGTAGTTGGTCAGCTGCTGACCATTGGCTTGGTGCTGCATTTTTCTGAAATTCTTCGGCAAGCATCAGAGCTAATGGCCAAGGATATGCCATTGTCTTATGTGCCGTATCTCAACTAAAACTAGTTTGCTGGCGAAAAACAATGTGGTTTTGCCTTCCAACGAAGGGGAAACTGGCAACCTAGCGCTCCCACACCAAAAAAAACAAGAATTTGTTTTAAAATTGGTTCCAAGTGCTCGGCAACTATCGCTGCAGTCAGCTGCATGCGTTTGATTTTGCATTTTTTTGTTCATGTTGTTTTACATCAGGCTTTGACAAAGAAGTTGGAGCGCATTTTCCAATTTCATTTTCTGCGAAAGAGATATATGTTCACTGTGACAAGTGCTTATAGCACCTACATCTCAAAACAAGGACGGGTTTTGCCCGTAGCCAGCCGCTGCTGCAAAGAAAAATGCATTCCCCTCATTGTTTTTTGTGAATCCAGCCAGCGCAAAGGTGACCCAGGATTCAAGCTTACAGATTTCAATTTGTGAATTTACAAGATTTCAAACAGTCTTGTTTACAAGAAAGGCAAACACGCATGCCATCAGCCATCAAATTTGAATCATAAACTTGGATTCACGGATTTTGTTCGTTCATAATTTTGTATTTTTGCGGTTTGAAAAAAGAAAAAACGAAAATTTGAATGCGACAAGCAAAACCAAACACAAAATCCATCTTGCAAATTGCAAAACGGCAAACTGTTGAAACCGAAACTCTGCATTCTACATGTGCCTTAGAAGATTGAGCTACAATTTTGCCCGTTTGATTTTGTATGTTTTATGATGTGGTATCAAATGCCATACAATCGGGTAGTAAACAATGAGTCATACGATGGTCATCCGTCAGAAACCAAACGTCCAATCTACTGACGAACTTTGGCTTCAACAAATCAACTACCTTGAAGGTCTGAAGTTATTGGATGTCATTGGGGGTCATAAACCAACTTACAACTGAAGGGGGGGAGGCACCAACTTGTACAATATGGCATATGGATATGAGTCAAAAAGTCAAGTACCTTTTTGTATATGACACTACACAGGTGGCAAGCGGATGTTCATCTCACAAAAATGCGGTCACCATATACAGTAGGTTTTGACGCACAAGAACAAGTTGAACCAAGGATGATGAAAAAAATAATAAATATGTGGTATAAACCGATCCAAAATTAGAGGTTAAAGTTGAACATATATATATATAATACATATATACAATTATACATACGTATGTATATATCATTTTATGTGCATATGTTAGTATCATATATTTCAGTAACCAAAAGCAATTGGGTGTTTGAGAATTAAGCACTGCATTCCCAACGTGCTGTCACTTCAGCTTGCCTCTCTTTTTCAGCTCACCTTCGGTGATTCAGTTGCACCCTATAGTTGCACTTCGAAAAGCCAACCCAGAACAACTACTGTCATGTTGGGACTTTTCATGAAAAGCAGCCCAGTCTACAGGCGGATTTAACATGATTAACCATCATCCCATCCGCAAGAATCTGCGATTTTTTCATGATTCTTGGCGAGCATCCATCTGGTTCAACAACTCCAACAAAATTCTCTGCACTTCTCGGTCTGCTCCCGTCTGTGAGTCAAAGCGCTTCGTTCCAATCGCGTCGATCCTGGCGTGGCGTAAGCCGTGGCTTCCTCCTTTAGCTCCATGTCAAAGAATCGCTGGAGTGGATAATCCAAAGGTCTGGACACTCCATTCTTAAAAACACTTAAAAGCATATATATATATTCTTGTGTTAAATTTTCATAAACTAACCACATCATTTGGGATTTTGTACAAAAAATGTGATGCTTACTTTGAGTGTCTTGGGGTATCCAAAGGCCCCCCGTTGAACTCAGCCAAGGAACTCGTCAATGAAGACGATGGAGGGGGCATTCTCACGAGCTAAGCGGAACACGTCCCGGACCATCCTTGGTCCTTCGCCCAGGTACTTCTGAACAAACTCAGAGCCCACCATTCCTTGCACTGGGCCGTTGACAGATGTCAAAATGATTGTTAAGCAACATTGGCACAACAACTGGCACAACAACTGACACCAACTTGCTAGTGACAAAAAAACTTGCAGAACGTTGGTGATGACTCAAATGTACCTTGAGACATGGGGTTGTTCCCATTTCTGGCCTCAAAGATTTTTTTCAGCATCCCACGTCCCTATAAGCCTCAAGCAAAGCCAGCCGAGCTTCGAATGAAGGTGGCCGTGGTCATGTTGGCCACGGCCTTGGCCAACATCGTCTTCCCCGTGCCCGGCGGGCCATAGAGCAGCACACCGCTGGGCGGGTCGATGCCGATCTGCGCGTAGAGTTCCTTGTGCGTCAGCGGCAACTCCACCTGGGCCGGTGGAGGCTTTGGTGCGCCGGAACGGGGATTCACCAAAATATAGCCATGACACACAAGAAACGGGACGGAACAGGTGGCGGATTACTGCAAACGGTGTCAAGAAATAGGAACATAGTTCAAGGGGCCAGGCAGGGACTAGGTACGAAAACATTCCAAGAGATGGATGGAGCAAATTCTGAAACCCTGCGCCCTGCACCTTAAAAGCTCACTTTGTAAAAAGGCCCACTGTGTGGCCGCAAATTCATGGCTTTCTCTGAGGCCATTGGCTTTCAGAAGGACCCATTTCTTTTCAAGACCACCACTAGTGGTTAGTTGCCACGTTTTTTGGGCTATTCATCCAAAGGCACCGCTTCCTTAATCTCCTGCTTCTGAATGTCCTTGGTAAGACGTTTAAGGACCGCTAAGTCTGGCGAAATACTTGCACGCGCAAACATGCTGGGCCGTGGTTGTGCATTGTACATGTATTCCAGATGGTAATAAATAGTTCATAATATCTCCATAATAGCACTACGTATCTCATATAGTGGCTACCATGACAGCTGAATCTTTTTTGATCAGCTCTCGAGCTGGATGCACCCTGGTACTTAATTTCGCTTTTGTGCCTCGAATTCATTGGCGTTTCTCTTTCCATGGTCGTAGTGATCATTGATGTACATTAGAACGCAGTTGTGTATAAACATATATATATATACACTCACATACATATCCAATACATTATATAAATATATACATATCACAATAAAGGAAATCTTTCTCATCATAAGCCATTCTCCATATTCCCTGCCACTTTTCGAGGTTTTTTTCTCCAGGTGGCCATACCACCGATGTCGGCATAGGTCACATCTGGCTTCTCGGACATGGCCTTGCTGGCTGATTTAACCAATGGGGAGGTCATAGGGATAGAGATACAGCAACTATAATGCTATGCAATACAGTTACAAACAAATATAGGTGGTATAGGTGGTTGTGCTTCTTGGTTTTATTACCCATCTAAAATCTCTAAAATCATCTAAGTAAAGTTGTAGTAGTCCTAATGCCCATGAACCATCGAATTTACACGGCTTCTTTTCCCACTTAGCAAACGAACGATGGGACACCACCTTGCACGCGTCAAACATCGGGTACAGCGGATTCACGTAAAATTGCTCATTCTTAGCACAACACCCTGCATGTTGCGGGATTATGCGGGATTTAGACAATTTCTGACCCATATCCACAGCACTACAATGGACCAAGCTACAAAGTAATTTTTCATAATATTTCTATATGTTTCCCTCTCTCTCTCTCTCTCGCAGACTCTAGCACCATCAGCAACTGGATTTTCATTAACAATTGCCAATTGGGAATTTCAATGTATAATTGACCATTATCATGAATTATCACCTGTTTCTAGGATGATTCCCCCAAGCCATTCCCCATCATGATGTCCAGTGAGGTCGCTGTACAACCAGGGTGAATTCCCAATAAATCCCACAATTCCCCAGGAAAACGGTTTATACATGGTTGACGTTCCACATCTATGTTAGTTTACCCTTTGGTACCATATAAATCATATATAATATGTATATATATATATAATATATAAATATATATATATATGGGGAAAAACAGGTAAAATTCCCTTGCAATGTTTTTCATGCTTAACTTATGCTTATCTACCAGTCCTGCATGAGGAGTGCTTGTTTTTGGTCCAAACGAATTCTCGGAGGCTCTTTGGAGCACTAGGAAGTACCATCCCCATGACCATACCCATCTTGAAATGACACTCCCCCTGATGATTTCGCCCCAAGACCGGAGGACTCCATGACACAACTGCAGTTCAGCCGCCATACTCTGCACCGTGCTGTCTGCTTCGGGTGGCAAAATGTCTACCACAGCCTCAGGACGGCACCCGGAGTTGAAGTGCTTCACGGGGATGGCAGTCAATGGCGATGGGTCCAGTCATATGAAACCATCTGGTCACTGGTTCCCTTGAACCAATCCGTTCACCTATGCTGAAGTATTCTTCACATCCTGGAGACCTGAGTAAATTTTGACTATCCCAATATGATCTGGCTTTGTCCCCATGGTTCATGGGAATTCAAAAGGGTTGTATGGAAAATGAATAGAATGTCACCAAGAAACATGAGGATTTAGTCGGGTTCGCCTTATGGTAATCTGTCATGGAAAATGACCACATTCAGTTCAAGGACTTTGATATTCTTCCCGTGCGAATTTTCCATGGCGATGTTAAATTACCCCATGGTAATCATCTTTGTCCACCCATGCTTTGCTCACCACCCCACCCCAAAATAGCAAAATCTGTGTCGATAATTCCAATGATTACTTTTTTCACATGAAACACCGTTGTTTGTTTTATCTTATCCACTATGCACATGAAAATATGTTTATGTAACTATATGTAACTAGTCTAGTCATGTCTAGTCACTACATTCATTTTTAGACGATATGAATTTTGAGGTTTCCAAAAAGCCACAAAAACTGAGCCGGGCGGCATGGGAGTGACGGTGCAAAGCTACCGAGCAGTTGGGTTTCCTGGCTTCATCGCGGGGTCACTATAGGCAGATACCCACAGTGCCACAGGCTACAGCTTAAAAGAGCGCACCCTCCGGTAAATTAACATAGCTCTGCAAAATCACCTTTTTTTATATCATCTGGAAACATCTAGAAACATCGAGAAACTAGAAACAAACCATTTTCATCGATGTTCTATAGCTATGTTAAATTATCGAGTGGGATGATCTCGGATGTGCAAATGATCATCCAAGGAGGGAGTCAGGTGTCATGTGAAACCCTCATCTTGAGGGGCTGGTAGTGGTTGAACACAGATGAGAAAACATTGCCCTTGCGAACACAAGACATTGAACTTGTAATTTCAAGTGGTTAATCGTCTTGGCGATTCCACCATGAGCAACCCCAAACGTGAAAATAAATACATGCATGAATCACAATCAATGGCAAACAAATACAACCAAAATAATAGGCAACACCAAATCGCAATATATGCACATACATAGACATAAGCATACACGTCGTCACATCCAAGGCTTACAGCCAGGTCCAGCAGGTCACGAACACACGAACACGTCGTGACCGACATGACCTCTGCGCCAAGGCGCAAGAGTTCCCGATTTAAGGTGCTCAGGATCCGAACCTAAAGTGCTTGAGCGGCTGTGTCTATGTACTGTAACATGCATTTTAATAGGGATGGATATGGGAAAAGTATGCACCAGTTGATCCAGTGGGGGACCATATCGACAAAACCAAAAGTAAAGTGAATGTACTGGTTTTGGAGAGAAACCTACAGGAAACCATGGTTTTTATACATAAATTCATCGAGGTTTTCTTCAGATGTTCCCTTTAACCCAACTTAAACCACTGTGAATTGAACAAGTTCTGACAAATCATCAGAAGTTCAAGTTCCCTCTCTCAACCATGTACATGTTTGAAATCATCCATTTTTTGTGCCGGACTCTGCCCCGCTTGGATGGTCGGAGCCAGGGCCACATCCCACGGCCACGCGGCCACGCAACGAAGTAGTTGGAGCCCGCTGTGGAAGACACGATGCCGTGACTCTGATCGATCATCTCCGAGAACTGGCCTAGCGTGCGCGTAGCGGCGTAGCGCTTGAGGGCCATCCCGGTAGTGACCAAATTGGAAAAACACGGGGCTGAGTTTATATGGTGTAAAAGTTTATACATATATATATATATATACAATATATATATATGATTATATGGCTATATGTGTATATTTACATATATATATATATAGATGATTTATAAATGGTAGATTTTTATATGTGCGACGGTCAAAACTCAATTCATGTGGTGAGGTCATGGCATCGCTTCACAAGGCCCCCTATCGCTACACACAGTCCCAGCACCCTTTTCACCAACTAGGCAGAATTGCTGCTAGAAGAAGAGGATCCAGATGAGGAATCGGATTCTTATTCCTCTTGCGATGGTATCTCCAGGGAAATTCAAACTTTTACGTGATCACCAAGGCTGACGTCGACAACTTCAGCTAGACACCAGCCGGACTCACTGCAGGTCATCTGACCTCGGAGGCTGCCCTTGGCTTGTGTTGGCTTGTCTTGGCTTGTCTTGCCTGTGCTGCCTTGTTTCCGGCGCCTTTTTTTCTTCACCCCGCCTCCTTTGCAACCTAATACCACGCCAAAATGAATCGGCAAAACCCTGACCAAATGAACCCTGTAAGAACTAACCCATTAATACTTAATACTTCCCATATTTTTCCACCTATAGCACAAGTTGTATAGTTTCAAGTGACCATGTGGGGTACTCCCTAATTTCATGGATTTCAGGTATCGCTCTGGGTATCGACGGGTATCGCTTCGGGCATCGCTACGGGGGCCAGAAAATGTGTGATCTCAGGGGTATGTTTCAAGTGACACGAAATTCTGACAAGCTCCATGTTGCAATTCTACTCCTGGACAGTGGCTTTGGAGAAGTGTCCGTGACCGCACAAGGATGCTGTTTCAACATATCTCAGCACGGTCACTATCTGAATCAACATCATCACCATCACCATCATCATCAGCATCATCACCATCATCAAGTTCATGATGCGTTATGAATTAGTTTCTTGCATACCTTATAGATCAACATACAACAATATATCAACATTGTTTAATGTAACTATCTCATATATACTTGACGACAGGCCATCTTGCAACTACCCAGGAAGACCAGCCCACTGCGACTGCTCCAGTGTCGCACTCTGACATCAAAAGATTGGAAAGTCTGGCGCCCAACAGGAAGGTTCAATCATAAACAAAGTCTAAAAAGAGGTATCGCTACACAAGGCCCCCTATCGCTACACACAGTAAATCACATGTTTTGAGTAGTGATGGCGGATCGTAATTGAAGCCTTTCATAGCGTCTTTTGACCATTGCACATATAGTTTTAAATGGAATGGTATGTTGACATAGTTCACGGGGACACTGGGATACCATTTACCAAGTCCTAATCTATAATCAACTACCCAACATGAACAAGAATCAAGAATTATAGTGGACTCTTAGACTTGCACATTTTCCGCTGGAGACAGTGAATGGTAAGTGGAATAGGTTCGAACGCTTTCACTGAGCGTCCATCTATATTCATTTATTCAATTATATTCAATTCATATTACCTTCGTAGATCAAACCCACTGTTTTGATACTTTGAAGGCTTGATATTTTTAAGGCCGAACAAACAACTGAAGTTCATCAGCTCAGAGCAAACAATGGTACGCCCCGCTCCTGTGGTGGGTTTTTGGGATACATCTACGGAAACCATGGTTTTCATTTCATAACAAATCGGGGGTTCCTATAAAAGGTTCCCTTCAACAAACCCCATGAATCATCATAGTTAGTTGGTGGTTGGAATTCCACTTTTGTTTTCCCTGGAGATCCATCTCTTCGATATTTGTTGCGGCGACCATGGTTTTCGAATGGAATAACGGAAGCCAATTTTTCATACTGGAATCGAATGGGATTGGATCCCAGTCAGGTCTGGCTTAGTTTTGTTGTTTTATTGCACCAATTGCCAGCTCCCCTGAAAGCAATCCAATCGCGCTGGCCTATGACCAAGGGCACCGATTGCACTCGCTTGATTTCCTGGGGGCTCGGCGGTAACTCCACAGCAACGTGGCTGTTGGATTTTTGGCAGTCACCAAAATGTAGCGAAACCATCATCAAATACTGCCGGGTCTTGAAACATACTATGTACATTTGAGATCATTTGTGTAGAACAACATATATAGATATATACGACATATATATTTCTATAATAGAGAGAGAGAGAGGAACAAAAAAACATGACCCTGATGCACTGACACACACCTCATATTACGCACAAATAAACAGCATCAAATATAATCGAATATCATCAAATATCATCAAAATATCATCAACATATCACAACCACCACCACCGCCACCACCACCATCATCATCAGCATCATCATAAGGGCTTTCAGAAATAAACGAACACCAATAAACAGCAACTATCCATCCGCTCCGCTCGTTCATCAGTCCGCTCGTTATATCCAACAATTGACACGTAGTTGTCATTGATTATATACCACATATTAACATATTATGTGTATATAATTGCGTATGTATGTATATATATATATATAATATATATATTATGGATAAATTACAATATTTCACTAACCTGAGGCCAGGCCATTGGGGATGATTCCCCTTACTAACCATGATTCCAGTGAGGTCACGGTGAGGTCACTAGAATCTACCCAGATCATCAAATGTTCTTTCTCTCTTGTCCATGCTCTTGGCAAGCTGCTTCTTGCGCTCGAATCATCTCACGCTTCAAGTTCTTCATCTCGTCCTTGATGTACTCTTCCTGCCGAGATTCCCACGAGTACCGAGGTATTGCCATCCGTTGTGCGTACTGCATGATGAGCTTCGAATTTGGGGAAGCCGGAGAAAAAAAACACATTCCAACGCTATATATGTCCCATGATATCCCTCTTACATCTGCGTATTTGGATAATATACACCCAATATTTCCCAAGTGATCCCTAAAATGGGGACTCCCAATGCTCTTGTCAGCGATGGCGGCCCTGCAACGGCCTGAATGTCCAAGAACTCCATTTGGCCTTGGGCGTCGATCAGCCCTTCAAAAATAAATAAGTTGGACAAACACATGCTGAGTGTTTGCTTCAACCCCTCTTACGAAAAAAAAAGTAAGTTGGGACCATCATTCCAAGCAGGATTTGAACAAAATAAACATGTTTGAAACCAGCCACCAGCATGATCAACTGGAAGTTGCACACCACAAACAAAAACAATGAGTATCACCGTTCCAACGTCTTTCTGAGAAACAAAGAATCTGTAGGTCATATTTACCCCATAACTCCTGGAAGAACCACCCGTTTTCTTAATCAATAGATATTAGTAGAGGGTTCCTATCAAAACCATCTATGCTACAAGTCTGCTGAGGCTCATCAGAGACCTAGATGAATCAAGGTCAATCTGGCCACATGGTCTGAAAGTTGGGTGCCCTCATTTCCAAAGTCGCCTCTGGTCCCCAACCGTACCTTCGAAGGATATATTCATCCCTTCTTCCGAAGATAAACAGCCCCTAGAAACCATGGTTGACCTAGAAACGATGGCCTAGTGAATTTAGTAAGTTGAGTTGGGGATTTACAGATATTTGGAACCATTTTTTGAGGGCCAAATATGTGTGTGGGGATGGGATGAGCGTCTGCCAGGCGGCGTTTTAAGTCCTTCAGACGCATGTACAAGTCATCTTCCAGCGAAAGGCCATCACTCTGCACCTCACCGGAGAGTCCCTCAGATTTCCCACATATGGTAAGGGGATGTAGAAAACACATCTCAGTGACCAAGGTATGATAAGATAAGGGAGTGAAACCCAAGTCGTAGCCCAGTCATTTTCATAGTAACTTCTTGGACCATCCGAACGTCACAATCCAAGCGGCCATGGTCACTCCACTCTGCCCCGCAAATTTCACGCTGGGCGAGACTCGAATTTCACTCTTGAGCCCAAGGTGAAGCACGGTGTCTCAGACTGCGGCCATCGGTCAACGTGGTCACCCATGGATGATGGGCCACACAACTTGAAACCACTGAGGCCAACCGTGAAAGGATTTGCTGCTTACGCAAAAACAACATGAATATCATCAATAAAATGAAACACAACACCAACTTAAAAACAACATATGGTTGGTCAATGTTGGTCATAATATATATATATATATACATACATATATATATACATATATATATATATATATGTATATCCATATGGAGGTTTCCTAACTTGGGGGGTACCCCCCCAATCATCCGTTTTAATACGATTGTCCATTTTAAACCATCCATTCCATTTATGGAAACCCCCATGTGAGTGACCAATGTTCTGGCTGGTACTTTCACCCACCTCCAGAGTTCCAGCATGTTCCAGCACTACAGCCACAGCATGGGATGCCCATAGCTCCAAAAAGTGCTCCATGCCGATCATTTGATCACGGGATAGATGGCTAAGTTTTAAGTCACCTGTCTATACCCTCTGGTAAACTAACAGTTTGCTATGGAAAGTCACAAATTCTTTAAAACTGTAGAGGTTGATGATTGAACTAAATGTGCCATGGCTTTCATACCAAAGGGTAATTGGAAACCAACATAGCGAATTACTTACCATCGCCAAAGAAGATGCCTTAGATACGTCATGATAAGTCTGTCTAGGGCGTAAAACCATGTAAAACCATCATTTCTGAGGCTTGGTTGGTCATTTTCGGATCTAACAATGAGATTCTACACGTCACCCTTCTTTCTGGTTCAAAGAAAAACCTGAGCTCCCATCACAAATGGGTTAGCTTCCCCATTTCGGGGGCTATTTGAATCCATATATTTTCCCCCGTGACGGCTCCCAATCTGCAATTGCCTCCTGACAGTTCAACCAACCGCAGAAAGGCGAGCCTCGCGGCTATCCACAGGATTTCATCACACAGCACATTCATGTTAGGCATCTTTCATCTTATATATATATATATATATTTATATTGTTATTCGAATATTGGATATATTGGCTATAATATATTTATATCTGATTATTGGAATATTGGATATATTGGCTGTAAATATTGGATATAAATGTTGGATATAAAATGCTACAAATTTATTCTAATGCAATGACTTTATGCAGAAATCATAATCCCTGGATCTCCACCTTGCCCTTCCCTGCCAAGTGGCATCAGTGTCGACTTGCCTGAGCCGGTACGCCCCACCAAGCCCACGCGTTGCCCAGGACTGATGCTGAAGGAGACACCGCGCAGCACCTGATTCAAAATGCTGGGGAGATAAGACTATATATGGCATCTATGGGATTTCAGCTATGCACACACAAAATTTACACACACATATACATATTACATATGTATATATATATATACATATTGATGCATACAGAACTATATATTATGTAATCATAAATGATTAATTAATCTTACCTTCTGGTTATTTAACATAGCCATGGAAATCACCATTTTAAAATATTTTTAATAGGTAAACCATCTATTTCTATGGGCCATCTATACCATGGCTATGTTAAACAAACAAAGGCTAATATGGGACTTGATCAGCGCAACATTCCTTGGGATTTGATCAAAGCTTCGCTGGATGAAACTCAGATCATCTGGGCCATCGTTCAGCTGTAGATATATGTTTTGCTGTCAGACTTGCAAGATCTTGCAAATGTAGGACACTGAAAGGAAGGTACAAAAGATCCTTTAATTTCCTTTTAGCCTCTAGAAAACAAACAATTTTGCCCTCACCAGCATCTTATTCTTCCCATGGGCCACCCAAATTCTCCGTAAGTTCTGACGGAATCTTCAGCAAGAATCCGAAAGAATCATTCTGTTCCGTGACGTTTCCAGTCTCCCTGCGAAACATCAGAAATGCTGCGCTACATTTAGTTCAACTTTCACTTTCAACAAACATCCAGCCCCCTTTTTTTGGACATCCAGCTGCTCCAATGCTTCGCAGGTGCCAAGGGGAGGTGGGGTCGATATCTCAGCTGCACATTTTCGAAGACCACTTTGCCTTTGCTGGGCCAAGCTGTGATCTTCGCCTAGCCAGATCCATGGGTAAAACTGTGGGCCAATTCTGGCATCGCACAGAAAACGACAAAGGAAACGTATATATATATATATATATGTATATACACAATCCACGAAGATATCTTTTGTGTTTTTTTTCTCGGGCCTAAACTATATATAAACATGTATATATAATTAATCTCTTTTTGATCCAAATACCCGAATCTTCAAGTGTTGTTAGGCATCTTCGTGCAATTTTTTGCCGAGAATCACCCAAGAGTTGGTTGCAAAAGTAGCTTTTCTTGCCTCCTTGGAGGCCTCCTGCTGGACGTTCTTGAAGTGTTGCCTCAACGGAAAAACGCTGAAAGAACAAAAATACACAACCTGAAAACGAAACATTCAGAATCAACCGGCTAGATATATAGTTGGATATAGTTGGATATATGATATATAGTGGAATACTGTTGGATATAAAATGATATAATTAATGGAAAACACATCGAATAACATGGGATCTAATGGGAATTATTTAACACTCACATGCAGGAGGTTGGAAAATTGCATAAGATGTCCGTTCCTGGGCCCCTTATTAATCTCCATTCTTCGTGCAGCTTAGATACCCCTCACGGATATCCTTTTAAAATGTTGGCCGCTAATTGATATCCATGTACAACACCGAAGATGTGTGTAACGAACTTGGGACGGTTATATAGTTACCTGGATATACCATCTGGTAATTTAACGTAGCTATTGAAAATGGACCATTTATCGTTGATTTACCTACTATATAAACATGGTGATGTTCCATAGCATATAGCTATGCTAGTTTACCAGAGGGTAACTTGAGAAGCTTGACTCTGGCGCTTGCCAGCAGCAACTGCCAAGCCGCAGGCGCTCGACTGAGGTGAAGTTGCTCTCCACATCAGCGGAGGTCTTCACGGTCCTTACCGCAAAACAACTGACCACATAGGCGGCCATCTTCAAAACCTGCCATTCCATTCGACTCGTTGGTTTCTATGGGGCTATTCCCATAATTCCTAATACATTCGATGATATGATACTATAATCATGTATTAGGAATTATGGGAATACCACCATAGAAACAGTATATTCCTATAATAAAATAATTCCTATAATAATATATATTCCCCGGACAATCGTCAATCAACAGTGGTTTTGAGCTCCATGGCTCAATTGCCAAGAATCAAATGGAGCCGACCCACAAGCCCGGCAGAGGCTGAGAGAGCGAGTCCAGCCAAAGAGGCATCCAGCTGATGGTGGAACAAAATCACCTGTGACGTGCCACGGACGCTGATGGTGGATCTGGCGCCTTCAAGAAGTTTCAATCGATTCCAAACAAATTATATATATATAACAGATAATATTTTGATATAACACGATATATATAGCATGATTTGCCTCGGAGGGCTTGGAAATTGAACATGATTTTTCAATCATCAGTATCAAATGAGGGACATTCTGGATATTGTTTGGGAAACGTGGAGGAGCCATAGGTTGAGTTGCTGCCATTGATGGTTGATGATCTTTGACTTGACAAACTAGCATAATCAAACCAAGGTCATATAATGTCATGTACCATCTGGTTATTTAACATAGCCATGGAAAATGGCCCGTTTATAGATGGTTTACCTATTAAAAATGGTGATTTTCCATGGCTGTGTTAAATAACCAGATGGTACCATAATCAAACCAAGGTCATATAATGTCATATATCAGTATGCGAGGAGATATGTAGAGCATGTACTTAAAATTCTACAAATGAATCCGCACATGGCACTAGATCTTTACGGAACAAGTCTACAGAAAGCCATTTTTACCCCATCATCATATCGCAAAACCATCCCGCAAGATACCATCCGGCCATGTCCAGTGGGGTATCAAGCCGGATATTCTCTCCCAAGCCCATGTTGTGGACTCAGCCAAAAAAGGTGCGGGCTCTCCTCTGGCAATCCAATGTGGCAATATGAGATAACATTAACTGGTTGGTGGTTTTAACCATCTTGAAAAATATTAGTCAATGGAAGGATGACAACCCATATATTATGGAAAATAAAAAAGTTCCCTCTGAGCGCACCGTTGCCGAACTGGGTCTCGCAGAAACGGCCGTCAGGTGCGGCTCTAAACTCCTCTCATGGTATCAAGCGATCCACCTGCTCCCGTAGCCGGTTTGTCCAAATGACGACTCAAAATTCCTTCAACAGCTTCAAATTCATGCTGGGACATGTGAAACCCAACAGACCCCTTGAAGCACAACACCCATTGGCTAAACGGTCGCACCGTGCCGCAGCAGTACCGCACTTTGGCATCCTTTAAGTACTGCTGCAGCATCAGCGGAAATACTTGATTCGGATCGGTAAACGGACGTGGTTCGCCAGCGAAGCTAAGCTACCGGACTCTGCTGACCACTTGCCATCCCGTTTTAGGATGTTCCAAGGTCCTCGCAAACGCTGAAAACTGAGAAAGAGGTGCAGGTAGGAAATCCATCGAATTGGTTGAGTCTCATCACGGATGTGCACTAGCCAGCTATGTACATCGGATGCAAGATGGACACCGAAGGACCGAGTGAAAGTTGGTCTCTGGAGGACCAAGTTGCACGGATCTTCCCACACAAGCTCTGGTTGCTTTCTTCCGACACGGACAGGTCTGGCGGCTGCAAGGACTGACGCAGGCTGGACATTGACCGACTGGACCCAAAGGTTACTGACGGCTAATATGTGAGATCTAACCCAAACCCCTTGATTACGAGAAAGAAAAACTTGATCAACATAGGCTGACCACAGGCTCCACACTTCGGCAGGACGATGGCGATTGGCGGCTTGGGCTGCGGTGTCAACTGCATTGTTTCCATCGACAAGCCAACGATCAAGGTCATTCTCGAAATCAAGGCGGCTCTCGTGCGCTGGGACTTTCAAAAGGGCGATCTTGTCCTCTCCGAGGCGAGAGACCAACACTCGCAACTGATAGAGAAGGTCACTGTGTTTGCCATTGGGTTTAATGGGTCTACCTTCAGTAATGAGCTTCCTGTAGACCTTCAACACGCTCTGACAGTCAGTCCAAATGCGAACGTAGGCATGAGTTTGGATGGCATATTCCAAGGCTGCAAGAACTGCTGTAAGTTCGGCACGGTACGCAGACTGTAGCAGGCCGGACAATGGCTGTGCTGCAACTGGGACAAAACCTCCACGGGCATCGGACAGACCAAAGGGCGGTGCTTGAACAACTGCCCAGCTAGCCATGCGTATGTCTCCGTCGGTAGGGTAGAGGCATGAAACATCTGTGAACAAATCCAAAATGGGCAGTTGAGGCACATTGGGCTGGAAAACCGGTTCACTAGGCAAGCCAAGCAAGTATTGATTCCAAGCGGCAGCCAATGGAGATCGCAGAGTCCATCCATGTTCCAGTGAAACGCTGGGAAGGAGTGTCAACTCTTGGTAAACATCTGATGGGATGGCTGCACGCAACTCAGCCGTATAGGCACATTCCCAAAGGCGATGGCGAGTGGAATCGGGAGCTCCACACTTCACACAAGTTGCAACCCCGTCGTCTGACCAATGTTGCGCATGTTCATTGGTGATTGTTGCTCCATGGAGGTACTTCCTGATGATACCTTGGTCATAAGGGTCAAGCTGCTGATATGCCTTGCGCGTCGCACACAAATCAACTGCCTCAAAACCATGAAAGGATCGTCTGTGTCGCACTGCAACTGCAAGAATTCGCGTCCAGGTCCATTGTGCACGCATGACAAACTCTGGCAGTGAGCATTGGAGAAAGTTAAAAGGACCCAAATCATCGCATGCCACTGCGTTTGCCTGTACTTCAAAACCAATGCGATGCAACCTTTGGCACAAGATCTCAGACAAGGAATTGAACGAAGGTCGCTCTGAGTCAAAAATGGCACAGTTAAGGCCCAATTCCACGGCACTGGCATCACCAAGGCTGCGAGCATCTCGCAGGGTTTCAACTGCAGCAAAAACCAATGGGTCAAACATGGCACCTTCAAGGCTACATTGCAGGGTTGGATTAGCTCCAGGTTTCTGAAGTTTCAACGCTTGCATGACATTGGTACGCAAAGCTTCGAAGTGTTTCTTGCCAATGACAACCGCTGATACTGCATGAAAAGCACGGGGCCATGCGACACGTTGAACCAAGATGACTTTCTGCCGGAACGTGCATGGGCTGGAACCAAGCTTTCTCCAAAAATCTTCAAGCTGTCGAAAACGTTCCAAAGCATGAAAATTGGATATCTGCTCAGAAAAGACCACATGGGCTCCAAGCTCACGGTTTTTCAGCTTCACTGTAAACCCTTCTGCACGCAGTTGAACTCGCCCAGCTCGGTCTGAGGCCCAGCAATACGACTTGGCTGGATCCAAGTCAAGACTGAGAGCTGCTGCAAACCTGTCCACCGCATCGCAAGCTTGTGACATGTAGTCAACTGACCTCAAAAGCACTCCCCAGTTGTCAACATAGGAAATAGGTTTGAACATGGCATTAGCCGCGATCATCCATCTGTGAAAAAGCTGTGTGAGCCCCATCATCGCCAAACAAGATAAAGCACAACCCTCTGGAAACCCATTGCATGACGTAACTCCAGGAGAGTAACTGCCCTGAATGACAAAGTGTCTCACAAAACCTGACAGCGCTCCCGCCCAAGCAAGCAGTGTACCATGGTCGACCCCCATCAGTTTGACCGCTGCCAGCGCTGGTTTCCGTGGCAGAATGTTGAATGCCTTCACCAAATCGGCCGACAGGCCGCAGACTTGATCGGCACCAAGATGAGCCTGCTCGATTTGTTCCAAGATGTACCTCCAAACATGTGCTGCACGTCCACCAACCGTGTTACCACAAAGGAAGGGATCAACAATAGAACTTACTGCCTTCAGCCAATGTCGAGCCATGATTGAAGACCAAGTCCTGTAGAGGTTGGAAAAGACAGTAATTGGTCGGAAACGACCAACCTCATGGGGATCGGCGACCTTTGCTAACGAGCGAACATACCCGCACAAAACTTGCTTTGGCCAACGGCCGCATGTAGTTGCCTGCTGGAAAACGCGCAACAGCAAAGTCCAGTCTGACGGGTCCAAGGCCAAAAGGTCACTTCGGCTGACCCCATCCAAGCTTGTCGCTGCATGTTTGGATTTGCGTTTCAGAGTCTGAACCACCAAGTCGATTGAAAGGTCAGGTGGGGTAACTGAAACAGGTCGGATTTGGCTTTGTGCAAACTGGATGATCTGATCCCATTGGCTTTCAGGCACATCTTGATGCCTGTTCCACAGGCGAGACCATTGGGCTTCAAATGCATGAAAAAGATCTTCCAAGCGGCCGACTGGTTTCTGCTGGGTCAAAACGTCACCTGGTTGAAGGGAACCACATGTGTCGAGCCACAGCTTATCAGTTTCATGGTGGATGACTGTCAGCGGTTGCCCTTGGTGCATGATGGGTATGTCAGGTACCCAAGCCATGTCTTTTGAAGTTATTACCGCACTTTCATGTTGGTCAACCTCAGAAACCACTGCGGTCTGTGTCAAAGCAAGGGAGTCAACTTGGGCAGGAACATCCCTTCGAACGGTCTTGTACATGGCCTGGATGTCAGATGCTTTGTGGAGTCTGTTGGCATGGGATCTGGCTGCATTCAATGAGTGTTCCAACTGCGTCAATTCCAAATCCATACCCGCATAGAACAACGCAGCACAGGCATGAACAGGGGGCATCTCTGGCACATTTGGTGGTTCCCCAACGCCAAGGTTTCGGTCAGTCCACCATTGAGCAAAATTCGGCTGGAACCCCCTGGCAAGTCGGATGGAAGTCCACAGTTGGAGGAGGTGCACACGGTGTTCCGGTGTGACAGGACCAGACCGACTCAGACGGACGTAAGACTGAAGACGGCGAAGCTGCTTTGTCCACTGGGCATGTTGGAGGCAAGAACCTAAAAACGCAGGCTGTCTGTCCCCTGGGCGGCTGGTTTTGATGGGCGCCATGTTACTGAATCGCTGGGTAGGTTTAAGTTGGGAGGCCCTACCAGTCATGGATCGAACAACAGGCTTCCTGGCAGCAACGCGGGCAGACATGTTGTTTTGCTCAACCTCCTTCCAAAACTGCTGATAGTCATCAGTCAAACGGTCAGGCACCCGGAAAAGATCACACTGGAGTGGCTTGCGTTGAGACAGTGGTTCCCATTCCATTGGATCAGGGAGGGGCCAAGCAAACCGACACAGCTCATCAGTACCACCTCGGAACCGACCCACAAGGTTGGAGTGATCTGCAACAGGTCATC